ATGACAATACACACTTAGTTTAATGTAGTCTGATTTATCAAATTTTTCGCAATGGCTGTTGCATCGTTTTCTCCTGTGCTTGATTTAGTCTGTACCGCAGGTGCAGACTTGTAGTAGCAATCGGCTATGCCATATAGTCTATGTGTGTAGTAGGACATGCCGTCTAGGTTTGTGTCAGTCATTCCACAATGTTTGCACAAGGACGAAATTACCTGATGGTGCTTTTCTCAGACCGCATTCCCATCGTTAAGTGGTGCGTGACTGCACTTCAGCTTTATGGCTGGTATTGAAAGCTGCTAAATTAGGTGCTCCCTATTTGTTGTTCTTTTTCAAAATTACCTCTACTCTTCTTGGCCAAAATACTCAAAACTTGATTTCTAGATTATAATTGTCTTCTCCTTTTCAAGTTTTATTGGGACTCAGAGGCTGTGCCTCTCTGTTGCTGGGAAGTCATATCACTTGTGACTCAGTGACCCAGCAGGGCAAGCAGGATGGCTTTATTAGCTATCGGTGTAGATGAATGAGATCTAACATCTGGTCCTTCATGAAAAATTCCTGTAGTTACAGAGCTGGAAAATAGACTATCATTCCATTAATTAAGGGACCAGAATTAGTTCTTGTTCTCTGCGTTCCATAGGCTAGTCATTGATGAATGATAATATGTCTTTATAGTTTCAAGCAATCAGTGGGGAAGATAAAAATATGCTCCGTGGTCCCCCTCAGCAGCACCATGTGTTGGAGAATGTGGACAGTCAGTGGTGGCGGAGCCCTAAGAGGCACTCGCATATTTAGTGACCCAATGGGGAGAGACAGTGCGTATGACAAAACCTCTGCCACATTCTCTGTGTGATCCCAGGAAAAAAATCACTAATCGGATTCTGCCTCACAGTGGGAACACTAACTTTTTCTAAAACCCACCTCACTGGAATGTAATAGGGTTAATGTAGAGGCAAGTGGCACTTAGATTCTTAGGGGAAAAACAATGTACATTTTTATCAGGAGGATCTTCCTATGGTCGATAGAAGCACAATTTTAGTGATATAAATAAGGACTTAAGACCATTTATTAACCACATTGCAATTGAGTTCCCCAGACCCTTTCCACTGAACTGGTGAGGATGGCACCTGAAACAGCAGGCTGGGAAGGGCAGGGAGAGGGCATGGAGCTCAGGGGAGTCTGTGGCAGGCTGGCCCCATGGGTGGGCTGGGTGTCACAGGGAAGCATGACCCCAGGGGGGCCTGCATGTGTGGTGTTGGGCGGGGGAAGGAGGGTAATAATTTGAGGTGGAAAGACACAGAAGGCAAAGTTAGTTACTTCACAATCTTGACTTCAATGCATTTATATTGGGCATTTAGAGTTTAAAGCTAATTACATCAATTCATCATCTTTTGTGAAATACCAGTACGATCTTGTAAATGCTAATTAGGCTGGAGGACATTTGCATCATTTAAAACGAGGCAATTGGCCTAGATTTATTAATTTCAAATAAATGTAGTGCATGTAAGTAAATGGCAAAACGCAGGGTTTCTGTGGCTGACTCTGCCTTCTGTTGGCTGTAATGCACTTTTGCACACTGTACTTATATTAAGGGTCTCCACCAGGGCGTTCGCAAATGCCTTTTCCTTTAAAATGAATGCCATAGGAGCACCAGTCGGTTATTATGGTGGACAACATCAATCCTGAAAATGCGTAGCCTGCCCGCAGTGCCTTCCCAGGACAGGGGCCGGGGCGGTTTCCTCCTCCTAAATGGCTGAGCTCTTACATCTTGATCCAGCCTCTCAGGCCCCAGGTGACTGGCCCACACTGAGCACAGGCATTGCAGTCTGTGGCTAGCCTCCCATGTGGCTAGATGTGACCACCACATGACTCAGTTTCCCCCAGTAGCAAATGAGCAGAGTGATGCTTGCAATTTCTATGACAACTCTTTAGAGGGAAATTGCTTGCCCTCCATTTTCTCTTTGGCTCCCTTCCAGCCCCAAATGGCATATTAGTTAACCAGCTCTACTCACGCAGTTGAGGCCAGTAGAGTAGGAAATGGCAGAGCAGGAAGATGGAAGGGAGCTGAGCCCTTAGATAACCTGGTGGAGCACAGCCCCCTACATACTGAGGCACCTCTGAGCTGTTATTCAGAGAGCAATAAATATCTCTCTCTGGAGTGAGCTGCTTTAGTTCTGTTTCTCTGTTACAACAGCCTAATCTGTAACCCAACCAATAGACAATGGTGGATACTAAGTGCTCAGGAACTACACTAAGTGCTGAACAGTTGTTATGTCACTTAATTCTCTAGCAACCATCCTAATAGGTACTGCTTGCCCTTCTTACAGGTGTGCAAACAGGCTTAGAGAGCGAGGTGACTTGCTCAAGATCACATGGCTATAAGTGACAGAAGGAACTTGAACTATTTTAAAAATATATATATTTTATTGATTGTTTACAGAGAGGAAGGGAGAGGGATAGAGAGTTAGAAACATCGATGAGAGAGAAACATTGATCAGCTGCCTCCTGCACAGCCCCTACTGGGGATGTGCCTGCAACCAAGGTACATGCCCTTGACGGAATTGAACCTGGGACCCCTCAGTCCGCAGGCTGATGCTCTATCCACTGAGCCAAACTGGTCAGGGCTTGAACTCTTGCTCAGACAGTGTTGCTCAGTGGTTGAGTGGCGACCTATGAACCAGGAGGTCATGGTTGAATTCTCAGTCAGGGTACATGCCTGGGTTGTGGGCTCAATTCCCAGTGTGGGGCATGTCGGAGGCAAGTTGATTGATGTTTCTTTTGTGTTTCTCCCTTCTTCTATCTCTCTAGAATCACTAAAGGTTCTATCTCACTCTCTCTCTCTCTCTCTCTCTCTCTCTCCCTTCCTAAAATCAATAAAAATCTCTATATACAAAAAATAACTTGAACTTAATTCTAAAGTATTTAAAATGCACATTCTTAATTGCTGTGCCCTCATGTCTCTTAATATTACTATTCATTCTTTTTCTACAGAGAATATTTAAAGAATTCTTCTCTGCTGCTTTTACAGTTTTAATCTGTTATATAGCGTAGCTCTGGACTCCTTTGCTAGGTTTGGTGTAGATTGCTGATTTTATCCTGTTTATTTTTATTTTTTTTAAGGGGGCGGAGAATGAGTATTGTTTTCTAGTTTTGGATAGATTCATCTTGCCTTGTTTATTGGCCTGTAAATCCCTCAGGAGGGTGTGCTAGTGATGCAAATGCTGAATAAATGACAGTTATACGTCTAAAGGGATAAGAGCTGTCTGGCCTTCTAGAATGACTCAATATTCTCTTATGCGATGTTCTTACGGGTGCATAAATTCCGTTGTTCATGAATCAATCCTGGTTAAAACCATCCTTTGCCAATTTAAAATACATTTGCATGGTAGCAGAGTATTTAAATAGAAGGAACATCTGAAAAGATGATTTCGAACAAGGAATGATGCCCATTTTATTTGTCACTATAAATATAAACAGGTGGGCTTTAACATTTTCACGATTGCACTTTAGTCAAATGTTAGATTCGTGATCATTCTGCTATATATGAATTGGTAATAAGTTTGATGCATAGTAAAATAAAATACAAAATAACACTGCCTTAAATTATATATATATTCTAATATAAAAGAGGCCTAGAGGTGAGCAGTTAAGGACTAATGTAGTCTAATATGGTGATTAGAATCTTAGGCCCTTTCTAACTTTTTCCTTCCAAATCCGTGAAAATGGCTTCCATTCTAAAGGTTCCCTCATGGTCAGCCAGAGCCCCTTGGAAAGACAACCATGTGTCTGAGCTGCAGGCAGCAGGAAGGGAGAGGGTAAAGGGCCTTTATCTGCCTCTTCCCTTTTAAAGACCTTTTACAGAATTTTCACTAAACAAACTCCCACCCATTGGTTAGAACTTACCTGTACCTAGTTATATAGCTGGTCAAATAAAATTAACGTTTTGACTTGTTTTTAACTAAGGAAGAAGGGGAAGAGTCAATGTTGGGTATATTGCCTTGCCTTTCTAATTAGAAAATTCCCACCATTCTAAGTCAGGGGTTGGCAACCCGGTCCATGAGCCAAATCTGCAACGTAGTTTTTTACTTTTCTTGTAAATAAAGAGTTACTGGAACAAAGCCTTATGCATTCACTGATGTATTGTCAATAGCTGATCTCATGATACAGTAGTAGAGTTGAATGGTTTTTAGAGAGGTGGTATGGCCAGCAGCCCCAAATATTCCCTATCTGGTCCTCCATAGAAAAAGTTTGCCCACCCCTGTTCTAGATCATGGAGAACAGATTCTGATGAATGAATAGCTTCATTCTTTGGGATGCTATTACAGGAGCAGGGTTGTGTTTAATATGAATTCAGTCACAAGCTATTTTTCAGCCCCAGTGAGCCCACATCTATTAGGCATATTTTTGGGTGCTAGCAACATAAAACCTGACTAGTGGCGGACTTAACAAAAAGGGGTTTATTGATCTCACACGTAAACACATCCAAAAGTACATGGTCCAGGGCTGGTGCAGATGCTCAATGATACCTTCAGAACTGGATCCTTTTGTCTCCCAACAATGCCCAGAATGTTGGCATTCCTCTCCATGCTTATTGTTAGATGGTTGCAGCACCTACAAGCAGTATGTCTGCATCCAGGGGAGGTGCCAAAGGCCAAAGGGGCTATGAGCCTCTCACTTTCCAAAACTTTCCCAGGAGTTTCCTTGGCCAAGACTATGACTCATTACCCTGCTAGCAGCAGAGGATTCTGGGATGGTGAGAATATAAATTGGGCGCATTGCTGGGGCAAACAAATGCAGATTCTATTGGAAAGGGAGAAAGGGAGAAAGGGAGAAAGGGAGGCAAGAGTGGTATGTGCTACAGAGAGCTCCTCACAATTAGCTGGGCTACCCTCGTATATTCTTATAGTCTTCCCTCCGCTTTCACCTTTTCTACCTGCCCCTTCCTGTCACAGTTCCTGAAATTGATTTTGTTGTTTTCACCTCCCTTTCATATTTTTGTCTAGGCGAGAAAACTGGAAACGAGCCTGAAGAGGTGAGGCTGCAGAATGCCAGCAAACAGATTGTGCAGAATGCCATCCTGCAGGCTGTGCGACAAGTCTCCCAGGAGAGCCGGCAGAGGGAAGAGAGAGACGGTGACAACCGGGGCAGCTTCCAGCTGGGCGTGGGGCAATTAACCAAGAAGCATGAAAAGAAGTAACACGGTGGATTTGGCTTTTGTCATATGCTCGTCTTTCAGCCTTTCTCTTAGCATAGGATGCGTAGCCAACATGTTGCCAGTAAAGCAAACCAAAAGTGCCATTGGCACCTAGCGGCAGAATGAATTCATACGAGCCCTGGCTGAGAAGCACTGTTTTGAAAAAGTGCGTTAGATGATTCTGTTTATATTAATGCAGTGCCTCTTAAACATTGTGGGGCCAAACCCGATATTGTAATTGCAAAGTAGTTTTGCAGCACATTTATTTTTAAAAACATGATTCTGTCTATTGATTTCTGCCTTTTATACATTCTTTCTGTGAATTTAACCAATAGTCCTTTTTTGCTGTAATATTGAGTAATTTCTGTGTTCATTATAGTTTAAAAAGGCTTGCTGGAAAGGGAAAAGATTGGAGTTTCAATCTTCAATATGGAACTGAAGGTCAAATTGAGCAAAGGCAAATTCTAAGACTGAGTCCCTCAGGATCTTATGAAGATATATATATATATAATTTTTAAGATCTCAGTCTTTTGGTTTCAGTTGTTTGATAGTTGGTGTTTATTCTCTGTGCAGAAATCCTTTGGAAATATGGATTTCTCTTCATTTCAAAATTAAGACAATTACATCTATATGCATAAGTTGTCATTGACTCAGTTCTTTAGTAGCCCCATGAATAGCAACTAGAATTGTAGATTTCATCCTGGACATACACTAGGGTCTGACTCTGGGTGCAGTGCTCTTGAAAGGATCTCTGGGGCCTATAAATGCGGCATTGCCATTAGGCTATGCATTTGCACTAGTTCCTTACTAATAAGAACTTCCCTTTTCCCATCCATAAATCTGAATCATTTTCTTGAGATAATGAAAACCATGCACATCAGGAATGAGTAACACGTGTGTATATGAATAAAGCTCTCTATTGCAACAGTATGACTGCTGCTTCATCCCCAAGTGGATAATTCAGATCTTCCTGGAGTTTTAGAATCTTATTTCCTGGGAAAAGAGGAAGAATTTTACCTGTGTAAAAAACCTTTTGGTTTTAGAGTATCAATGGCTATATTTGGTAGTGTTTTTTTTTTTAAAAAAGCCAAGTATTTACATATAAAGTATGACTGATATTAAGATATATTTATAAAATTCCAATGTAACATTTTCCATAATGGATACTATTGATAGGGTACATGAATGACAGCAATCTCTTAGAAGCTTTGCTAGACTGTCTCACACAATGCACACCTGGAATAAATTCACAGGAGAATGGCTGTGGGAGAAAGCAGAGGGGTTACAATTTAAATAAGGTTTATTCATAAACTTTTTCAGCAGAACTCATGACAATCAAATAATGAGTTTAAGTTGAGCTGAAGGCATATCATTGATGTGATAGCACTACAGTATAGATGGTAGGAATGAAGGTACTAAGGAACATTATTTAGGAGTATTCATAAATAAAGTATAAACCCCAATGCTTGTAGTTTGCAAGTAATCTGGCACTATGTCTACTAAGCCTTCTGGATATAACCAGCCTTGGATCTTGCTGTCACATGGCGGAAACACATGAACTCGCTATATTCCCTCTCTGGTGTGTCTTTGCTAATATAGTGGGGATCTTTGGAAACATCTGATTAACCTCTGTATCTAAATGTTACTTGTAAATAAAATACACCCAACTTTCAAATATGTTGTCATCTTAAACAAAAGTTTCCTATGTCCTACTGTTATGGTTCATTCTGCACATGGATCTTATGTTCATATGGCACCATGAGGTGTCCCAACACTGTTTCCAAGTTCCTAAATATCATGACCTGGAAAAGCTTCTTCAATGGGCCTTCACTGTGACTGTCTGAGGAGAGTGGGGCGACTATGCTTCCTGGGGTGTGAACAGAAAAAGGACATTTGCTAAGAAGTGGCCTTTGATCTCAGAAAGTGAAGGTAAGTGTACCTGCAAAGTTGCCTGTCTTTCATGGTCTTTCTGAGATGGAAAGTCTACAGCAAGAAACAGAGATGTGGGCAAGTTCTTGGAAGAAGAAAGTTAAGCAACCCCTGGACTCCAGAGGAAGGTGCCATATTGGCAGAATCTTAAGGAGCTCAGTCATAAAAATCAATACATATGTTAAAGGTTTACTTGTATATCAGTATAAAGTTATTGGACTCTGAAGGGGCTGGCAGAATGTCACTTGACATAGGATTAAGGTGGGCTTCTCCTGATTATTATCATAAACCAGCATAGAGCCTTTGGTTTTAAGAATTCGAGGTAACACTTATTCATGTCCTTTATATTCCTGATTACATGGTAGAGCACATATGGCCTCTGCTGTGTGTTGCTGTTCACTTTTCACTTTCCACGCAGCTGGGGTAGAATTGAAGAAAAAAATCTTTTCTGTTACTTTGCTTTTCTGTAATCATGTGAACAGTATAAATATATACAAAGGAACTTATTGCTTTCTGGGCTTCAGTGTTTTGTTTGTTTGTTTTTAAGCTACTTAGTCTTCCCTTATGGTGGGATTTCAGGTTACAAGTGAATCAATCAACCATTTAAAAAAATCATTGAATATATGTCATTCAGGGTATTTTGAACAGGTTAGGTCTGTATGCAGAAACAACACCAAAAAAAAGAAGGAATTTTTAATTTATCCACTGTAACAGGTATTCTAGTAATATACAATCCTAGAGAATGAAATCTGAAAAATCTGGTAACTAGTTTTGCCATTATGTTACCCAAACAATAAAGAATAAATACTTGAGTACATGACTCAGTTCATGTAAGGAGAAAGTGGAAGCTATGATAACCTCTCCCTCAAGGGTGAAAATGTTTTCTGAAATATATTATTACTAGAGGTCTGATGCATGAAACTCATGCAAGGGGCTCAGCCCTTGTAGCTATGGCGGCTTGCCTTGGCCCTCGCAGCCCCGGCCTCATCTGGAAGGTTGTCCAGAAGGATATCCAGAAGGACATCTGGAAGGTCATTCGGCTGTCCGGTCTAATTAGCATATTATACCTTTATTATTATAGATACATTACCTCATTTGTCTCATGGCTACCACCTTACAATAGTGCAGCCAGGAAGATCTTATTCTTTTGTTGCAAATGAAGTCACATTGAGTCAGAGAGAGAATAAGTATAGGGCGTGACAAAAGGAGGTTTACAGTTGTTCGTATGAAAAATAATATAATGAATAATACAAGAATAAACTGTTTTATATATTCACAACTGTAAACCAACTGTTGTCCCACCCTGTAGATCCTAGGTAGTGAGAAGTGAGTACTGTTGGGCACAAGAAGCCATGAATCACTGATCTTGAACTTTGTGAGTATATGAATTACCAGGGGAGCTTGAGATTATAAGTTTCAGGAATATCTATATTTAGATGGAAGAATAAAACTGCCTTACAGAATATCTTTGTGTAAGAGAGGTAACAAAAGCATTAAAGAGCCCCCTCAAAAATAATTATCAATAGAAAAGGCTTAATCCATTACCTGAAAAAAGTGAGTGCAAAGGCAAAACAGGAAACTCCAAAGGGAATGAAATGGAAGACTACAGAGCAGGTAGCCACTTCTCTTTCTTCTCCACAGAAGCCATGGAGGTAAGTCCACCGAATCCTGACAAAGGTATCAAGAGAGACGAACGAGGGGGTGACTTTATCATTTGTCTTCTGGCTACAGTGTAATGGAAATGGCTTTTGGGAAGAAATAAGTGAAATAGGAAAGAAGTTTCTCTCAGAAGTAATAGGCTCATCTTAGAGAAATAAGAAAAGAAAACCTGAGAGAGTGAAAGGAAAGGAAGTACATCTAAAAATAAAAATCCCCTCGTTGTATTCTAGGAAAATGGACACAAAATGTTCAACAGCAATATTTCCAGAATAAAATAAAAAATTTTGAAACTTCTAGGCTGAGAGTGAGTCATTTACAAAGGTGAAACTTCAGGCTGACATCAGACTACTTCATGGCAACATTCAACACTGTAACATAGAAAAGAAAAGGCTGCAAAGTAGCTCTGAAGGAAGGAAAGTGTGAAGTAAGTATTATTTCCAGCCAAGATGTCACTCAAGAATAAAGGCAAGCATTAAGAGAAATTTCTTAAAGGTTAGCAGTACTTAACAGACTTTTGTGAAAAAACTGCTTGACCACTTAAACATAAATAAAATAAAGAACGTATGAATGTGGGAGCTCCAATAAAATGACTGGTGAGGAGCACTGCCTTCACTTAAATATAAAGTGAATATTACGTAAGTGTGAAAACTAGGCTAATGTAAAAAAATGTAAATTGTTATATTTTGACAATATAAAAACACAACTAACAAAAATCAGGAGGTGGGGTAAGGGAAATAACATGCAAATGATTTCATCTGTTAGAGGAAAGAGAATGTTGGTACACTTGAAGTTGTCCCAGAGGCTCTTTGCCCTATTTTCATATTTTTGGATTCTTTTTTCTTTTTACTCTTCTGATTGGGTATTTTTTGCTTCCACATATTTCAAATAGTTGACTTGATTCTCAGAATCATCTCCTCTATTGTTGAATTCCTATATATTATTCTTTATTTCAATCAGTGTATGCTTTAATTTCTGACTGATTCTTTTCCCTTTCTTTGGAGGTTTCTAGAAAATTCTTGAGTAACCTTATAATTGTGGTTTTGGACTCTATATCCAGTAGTTTGCTTTCTTTTATTTCTTTCATTTGTGACATCTTTCTTTGTCTCCACATTTTGGCTGCTTCCCTGTGTTTGTTTCTATGTATTGGGTAGAGCGGCTATGTCTCCTTGAGTTGGTAGAGTGGCCTTGTATAGTATGTATTCTATAGGCCCCAGTGGCTCAGCCTCCCCAGTCATTTGAGCTGGGAACTCTAGGTGCACCCCTGTGTGGACTGTGAGCACAATCTCATTTTAGTTGAGACTTGATTGCTATTGGTGTCACTGGGAAGAATTGACCTCCAGGCCAACTGGCTATGAGGACCAGCTGCAACTACAGTAGGAGAGCTGCTGTGCAAGAGACACCCCTGTGGATCAGGGCTTGCTTCAGTGGGGCTTTGGTACTCACTGAGTCTGCCCTTGAGTGTGTTGCTTCTGGATGTGTAGAGTTATAGTCTGGTGTGGTCTGACACTGACCACTGGGTACATTGGCTCTTGGGTCTCCAGGGAGGTGCAAAATCAGCCATTGCCTAGGGCCACCTGGCAGGAGCTACAGAGAAATCTGCATATTCCTCCTGTTGGTATTGGGTTTGGAAGTGCCCAAATGAGGCTCAGCTATGAAGCAAGGCAGGTTGGTGCTGGGCCTTGGGCCCTTTATTGATAGGCAG